CTTCAACTTCAGCTGAATTCCTCACCACAGGCCAGTGGATGGGCAGATTCCTGCCCTTTCTTTTCTAGCAGCATGCTTTAAAGTTACACAAGAGTTCTACTTTGTAAAAGCCATGGTTTTGTCTGATGGATGAAAAATACCAAGTTCTCAATAGCTCCAGGTACATAAAAAGCTCATAACCTCAGGAATCCCAGCACAGAAAAAAGCAGCACTGCTCATCTGGCTTTGGCAAACCTAAGTTCCTGAAACCTTCATTTGTAAAGCACCTCAGCAGATTTTGGTGACTCACCTTCATGTGTTACTGCTTACAGCCACATAATGATTCTTCTCCTTCCTCCAGCCCCTGAGTAAGCTTCAACAAGCCAAGCACATAGTGACCCAAAGGTTATTTACCTCTTACAGCTCCTGATAATCTATATGATATGTATTGATCATCTGAGATAAAACACGAGAATCTCACCTAAAAGAAGAAACTACAACTGAACAGAATTCGCATCTTTAAAGGATTTTCTCTGGCCAACGAAGGAGTGCAGGACCTGACCACACAAGGAGTTAACACCCTCTGGGAATGATGGAGTATAATCTCAGTTTCCTCATATTCCCTGAGGTATGACCATAATGGCATTGCTTTAACATTTCATCCAGAATGTGACTACTGAAGCAATGCATAGGGAAAAATACAAAAAAGAAAATGTATTTATCTGGGTTGCAGTAAACATGAAAGGAAAAAAAAAAATACCATCATTAGAAAAAGATCTGTCAAGTTCATGTGAATGCTCTGCATTTAGCTCTTGTTTTAGAGCAACAGTCTGTTATGTTGGCTCCTCTACAGTTTAATGATTTCCTGTTAAGAATTTAAAATTAGAAGCCTCCAACAACTTCCCCATAAACTATTTTCAAGGTTCCTTTAATATCCACATCAAGGAGTTATAGTAGGTTCATATGTTACCCATGTCAGTTCACTTCCTTCCCACTTCAAAATAAGCACATTGCAGGAAAATTCAGCAGGTTTTTTATTGTCTACTTAGAGCTTTTTCTCCCCCCACGCTAAGTACGTCCAGTTATAGTAATTAAAAACATAAAACTTTCACATACACGAGCTCAGATTTAAGCCAGGAGAAAATGAGAACCTCTGGTCTGAAATAGCCTAAACTAGGATAGATTATGACCCAAATCCAATTTTTCCATTGATGAGTTAGCTTGAATCTTCAACTACATTCATACCAAACTTCATCTATGTTAACACATCCATTTCACAAACACATTAAATGCTTTTTGACAAGTACCTTACCTTTAATGAAAGCAGGCAAAAAACAATCTTGCACTGTTGGCATATGAAACAGATTCCATCTTTTTCAGCCAGGCTTCCTAGATCAATATTCCTGCAAAGCAGACACAGTATTTATTCAGGACTTTTTACTTATACATCTCAAACTATGTTGCACTGCTTATTCTTTTGACTAGGAAATGATATAACAGTTGCAGTAGTTATGCTGTTACATCACATATTCAAAATCATTTAAGTGTATAAAAAGGCAGAGCATCTGCAGGCATCCCACCTCAGTTCTTCACTGAGTCAGTGAAAGGACTTACAAATGCTAATCATCACCTTTCTGACAAAAATCAGCATCTACACCTATCCACCAAACACACTCTTTATGCGAGCACTTTCTGATTAATTTCACTTCAAAATGAGTCAGGTGAAACTGCTGCTGACTTAATGTGACCTAAGAACATACCAGTAAAAGAGGCAATCTTTCTGCTTCTTGCATAGCCTCTGAAAAATGTACAGCTCGAAATCTCACTGAAATATAAATCTACGTACAACTGAAAAAAACGCAAACAAAAAAAACCACACCACACATTCTCAGCTTGCAGCTTAGCCATGGAGTCAAAAGTTGTGAGACAAGGACAACACTGATACTTTCTGCAGTAATTTGCAGACCAAACTGACTTGTTAGTCACGAAACCATGGTTTTGCATACAGATTTGGAAAAGTTACGTGAACTACCTCCTAAAGCAGAGGTGAGCTTCAGCAGTTCACCATTGTCCAGAAATAGTAACTTGGTAATACCAATATCTGGTTGGGATTTTTGTTTCCTTTTAAAGAGTTTTGAGAATGTTTTTTGTGGTGCAGAACAACATCAGGCTCTAACCATATTCTACTGAAATTACACAACCATCTTTCTTTGCAGATGTAAAATCTCTTCTATATGGCCTTCTTCAACAAAGGGAATTTTGACAACCAAAAGGCTGTTTGATCTCTAGGGGCAGTTTTTTTACAATGAAAGTCTATGATTAGATTTTCTTTATACACTCACCCATTATGAGGCTTGTCTGCATCCCCATCCACTGCAATGATACACAGATGTAGAGAGCCATTGCACTCCATACGCTTTACATGTGAGTAGTTCAGATACCCAGATGCATCTTCAAAAGCTAAGATTACAGAAGACAGACTGACCAAATGCTTTTGCCTAAACAACATACAGTACCACTTTGCTTTCAGACACAGCAGCATTTGTAAATATCCTTTAAATATTTCCCTATATAAAGAAGACAAAAGAGAAAGATACCAACAAAGATAAGAATAACCATCAGAACTTCTGCCAACAATGCTGGAAATCAGAGAGACTTTCCAACATCTGCAACTATTAACAAGTAATTGCATTAAAATAATTTACGGATGTGAAAAGCACATCATTAAATGAAGCTATTTTGCCAATACAGCTTAAAGAAAAAGAATCCATTCAAACAGGATACCCCTTAAATTTAAATGTATTCGGAGAACTAACCAATTACTTGAAAAAAAACCAGACTTTTCTAAGTCTGTTTTGCTATTACTCTGAACAGTTACCTATTACTTTAACATTAAACACACATACCCTGAGTCAAAGACTCCACCAACTCTCTAATAATACCTTTAAAATCAAAATATGTGTCTACAAGATCACCAAGCTGTTCGATACACAAATATACCAAACCATACAGTACTAATACCAAATGCTACTATAGCTAAATTTTATTTCCACCTAGAGATTAAACACTTTTGCCATAAAGATTATGCTTCAAAATTTACCAACATGAGTTACAGACTGAATACATAACACAATATACTTCAGAGAGAGCTTGCACCATGTCCTTCTTTCATAGATATGCTTATTTCGTCTCCTTTAATATGTATCCCATAGTTTTGTCTACAAAAAAAATACAAGCCAGTAAAAGGTTTTCCAAGACAAAAGGTTTTCTTTATCACAAAGCTCATTGCCACAGCACTGTCTTTAAAGGTCTATTTACCTTAGCTGTTATTGTCAGAATTCTCACTGGAGACTTTCTTTTAAAACAAAATAAAGAACACTGTAAGTTCAAGAATTATCACTTTCTACATATTATCAGTACTTTTCACTTCAGACACTGGAAAACCGCTTTGTCTGTCCCTCCTAACAGGCCTCCAATGCTAACCCTTCCAAACCAACTCACTACAAAGTAACTGAAGTAAATAGCCTCTGCCTCTTGAGGGGCTAATTGCCAATAGAAACCAGCTGCCTTTCCCCAACTGAAGAAAATCCCCACTGCCTCAGAAAATACAAGAAAAAACTGAAGCCAGCAATAGGCAAAAGCAAAGAGGACAAAGCAATCTTCCATGGTCTGTTTATGTCACATTCCTTTCTTCCCACCCCATAACATTTCTTTCTCTAAGTAAAAGACAAAGAATAATGTCCTCTCGCAAAATGGGGAGAGCAAAGAATAACAATTTATTTAAAGCAGTCCCCAAAATGAAAAGCAGAAGCTCTGCCTCCTATAGTTTTAAAAGTAAGAACAAGATATCACAGTAGCAGTCCTGTATTAGCTAAGAAAACCAAAATAAGACTTGATAGAAGGTGAAAAAGCTCCCCGTATACTTAGTGCACCTAGGTTTGGGGTTGTTTTTTCTATCCAGTGCATGATAACAAGCTTGAAAAATGAAAAATATTTAACTCTCAATAAAAGCTTTATTTAAGGCCATAATAGAGCAGTCAAAGTTGAGTGATACTACTTTATTACAATGCCAAAATCTACACTAAGCAGTAGTCTCAGTGTCCTTGCCTGTGTTGTTCTGGGGTGGCTAAATCACTGGCTAAACACAGCACAAGTCTGGCTTAGACCAAATGATCCTAATTGCCTCTGCCTAAAAATCTACCATCTGTGTCTGAGAGCTACCCAATATGTTCCTAGTGGTGTGTGCAAGCCCCGCACGGAAAGCAAATTAGGAAGAAAAACATGCCTGAGACCGCTTGATAAAAACGAGATATTGACAAAATAGAGTGCCATTTCCACATTGGGTCACAGAGTCTATTCACACGGGTAAAAGGGTGTTTTTACCACACAGCAGCCAACGAGGAACACCAGATGATGCGGGTGCACTTCAGGTACATTAGCAACTCCCCTCAAACGCCGGGCTCCCAAATAACGCTCACCTTGAGCTGCCAACACACCTGAAAGCCACAGAAGGCCCAATATTAGCAGTGTATTACCACAAGTTAAGCTGTAATTACCACACTTCAGCTTGGTCTGGGGCTGGGCAGGCTCTGGAGAGGGGATAACTCAAGGCCCCCATCTTGAGGCCTCCGGGGGTGGCCACCCCATTCTCCCCGTGCAAACAAAGCCCCCAGAGCAGCCCAGCCCCAAGCCCCACGTCGGATGTGGGGAAGACACCATTCCTGACCGTGGCAGTCATCTGAAGGCTAGGCCACATCCTGCCACAAGTCGCAGCCCTACCACAACACCTCGCTTCTTGCCTCACCCCCATGCCCTCCTCCCCGGTATTCTCCCTCAGCCCCTCGACACAACCCCATAGCACTACATTAGCTTATTGCTGTTCTGGGGTTCCCCTTCTGCCCCGCGTTCAGGCGGATGAATCCCTTCCGTTCTTCCCCCACGTCCCCCAGGCTTCAGCCGCCGCCGCCGCTCCCTCCCCGGGCAGGGCGGCGGGAGCCCCGGGGCGTGAGGCGCGAGAGGAGGAGCGGGGGGGCGGTGGGTGGGGGGAAGGCGGCTCCGCACACCCAAGATGGCGGCGGTGGAGCTGGAGTGGGTGCCCGAGACGCTCTATAACACGGCGATCTCGGCCGTGGTGGATAGTTACGGGCGGGCCAGGCGCAGGGACATCCGTTCGCTGCCCGAGAACATCCAGTTCGACGTGTACTACAAGGTACGGGGAGGTGGCGGGGGGCCGAGCGCGGCCGGGCCCGGCGGGGCCTGGGGGAGATGGAAGGAGAAGTGGGCCGGGGGAGGAGGAGGGAGGAGAGTTCCGCGCCCGGCCTGCTGCAGGCCTTGCCCCGGGGGGTTGAGTGGTGAGGGGGCGCCGGGCCGCGTCCCCACGTCGGCTCTGCTGGCACGCCGGAGCGGAGCAGGGCCCGAAGGACGGGCTGGGGGAGCGAGGGCCTATGTGGGGCCGCCTGTGCTGCGGCTGAAGGAGGGGAGGCGCCGGAGGAGGCTCGGGCAGGGCCGGGGGCCTGCGGCTTCCCCCTCCGGTTGTGGGTGCCTGCGTTGCTGGAGAGCGTTGGGCCGCGGGACGGAGGCTGGGGCAGCGCCGTTGCCGAGGACATGGGGAAGGGGCCTGCCCTTGGGGGCCGGGGGTGAGGCCTGGGGGCAGGGGAAGATGCCTCCTCGACCTCCTCGCGTTTGGAGCCGGAGATCGGGTATGGGCAGAATGGGGCCGCGTTGTCTGTGCCGGAATATATATTTTCCTTTTAATGTATTGGAGAAGGTGATGTCAGTGGTAGAAGGAGCGGAGTTTGCCGTGCTCTTATATCTTCTTTAATGATACGGTAGGAACCAGATGAAAAGAATTGAGACGCATTTAATGATACAGTTTATTAGCGTTAAATCATACTTTCCTGAAAGAGCTGTTTCTCATTCAGCTGCCTTTAAAATATCCCGAGTTAAAGGTACACTGAGATGGTCCATTAATTTCTATTGTCCACTAAACGGGCATTTCATCCGTGTGCAGGAACAGCTGGAAATGAGCATTCACCAGGAGAGAAACAGAAAACCCCAAACCAAACACACCAAATGACCCTGGACAAAGGAAACCCCTAAGATGGGGGATAACCCTTCTTTCCTCTGTCAGCAAATTTCTAAAAAAACACAGGATATGCTGAATGAAGTGGTTCTTTAGATGAATCTTTATGACTGGGCGTACTGGCCCCTCACATGCAGAGTAATAGTAGTATTTACAAGGAAGGCTGATCTTCACTAGAGGCAGGAATTGTTTCTGTAGCACTGAAAGAGGCATGTATGTTTTCTGTAAACTAGCTATTATTTGTCTGCTTTATATGTTGAGAAACATGGACCATAACTCCTTTTTACCACATACAAGCATGTTCACGGATAATTATGTGGTTCACATATAGCAATTATCCAAGACTAAAGATATGGAGCTAATAATGTGGAAGGATATTTGGGGATTTAATTTTAACTGTTGGTACGTACCACCATTGACAAATAAACTTTATTGGCATTGCCTGTCCTGGTGTTCATTCAGATGAAAGGATGGCACTTGGTGGCTTTTAAAAGCATAAAACAAAAACACCCCAATACATACTTGGCATGTATTGGTATATCCAAGTATGTATTATTCCCAGATTGTTTAAAACCTCATCTCTGTATGAGCATAATAGATCATTGATTTCTTATCCTTTTATTCGCACTCTTCAGTGGTTGTGTTGAATCAGAATCATGTGGAGCTTTTCTGTGATGAAAAATGAACCAGCAGTATATCTGACTTTTAAAGACGTTCTAATCTGTTTGTTCTGCTTGCGTGCATTGGTATATCGTCTCGTTGGGCAGGTGATAAACATGCTAAATCCTCAAAATAATGTTTCATTGTACTAATCACTAGCCAGTATAATCTCTGTTAATGACAGCAATTTGCATTGCTTTTCCTATTATTTCTGTGGTTTACAACAGGACAATCTTTGGTAATCTGAAATGTGTGAGGTGCACCCATGTTCCTGTTACAAATACACGTCTGTGAGATGTCCCCGTGCAGAGTAAATAAAACCTGGCTACCCAGTGCAGGTGTTTTGCCACTGCTGCCAATGGGAGGCTGGTCTTCCATGTCTTCACTGCTTGGGTCTAACACTTTTCCAGTGTAGGTGACCTGTCCTCTCCAATAGTCACGTTCAAGTTAGTTTATACCAAATGTAACTTAATCTTTGATGGGATGCTGACAGGAAGTCTTCTGCCCTTACTAAATGGTGTTCTATATGCAGAGATGTCTGCCTGCAATGAGTAGCTTGAAGCCTAGCCCAGATTACAAGTCTTTTGGAACAGTGTTTGCATTTTATATGCACCTATACAATGCTTAGTGGCTGGTTCTTGATGTCTATATTTGGATGGCTACAGAAATACAAATGACATAGTGAGTTAGGTTAGGATGAGGACAGCATCACACCTTTGGACAGTGTTGTGTGTGGTGCTTGTTTCATTGTTTTGGATCTGGATATAGTTATTTTCGAAAACCTGTGAATATTAAACACCATTTCAGGTTCTTGAGCTGTGTTCACTTCATCCTGACCAGCAAGTTATTTAAAACAGAAGTAGAATTTCCAAACTCACCAATAGTTTTTCAAGTTAGACAAGCCAAAAGACTTAAGTGGTAGTGGTTGCTGCTGTGTTGAGGGGGTGTTAGTTGTTAGTATCATATGGAATAGTAATTATTCTTTAAATACAGCTGAGGAAAAGTGACTTGTAATTGAGGATTTGTATTAATACACTTGCATTTAGACCTTAAAAAAAAGCAGAGAATCACTTTCTGTGATTAATAAAAGGAAGAAAAATGTATGTTCAAGACTAGAAACAACTTTTAAGTAATAGTTTGTTATCCAAGTGTTAATCATAGCTTGGGCTATTGGAGAAACTGCTGCTGATTTTGTAAGAAATCAAAGGTCTTATCAGTCAGATTTTATTTTGGTAACGCAGATGTTCATTGAAAGTGGCAATACAAAACTTACTTTTATCATGCTCATATTTTTCTTTTATTAATACATATTGGTATGAACACTCAAACTTAACATTTGCCAGTCTTGCACAGTTTGCCAGCCTGTTCCCATTGATTGACAAGGTAAGCTACATGGCTGTTCCCACAGCAGGGATAATCAATGTGTTATTATTTCAAAGGGAGAAAAGTGCTATCAGCGTGTCTTTGGTCATTGTTTTTTCCCCAGGGCACCCTCTAATGCAGTCGTTGGCTCTGTTGTCATGATGCGTTGCCTTTATTTCCCATTCCCTAAGAAATGCAATTGCTTTTAATTCTAAAATTCCAGAATTGTTAACTTCCAGGGCTTGCTTCATAAGCCTGTGCGGTTAACAAGGAATCAGATGTGGCATAGTTGCAGAATGTTCTTTGTTGTGGACTTGTTAAGAAATGGGCCCTGCTGTGAGGTGATGGAAGCGGGCAGGTTCCTCGTAGTAAGTGTATTTATCTTTCTGTAGTTTTCTTGAGCAGTGACTGAAGTTTAAAATGAGGCAGGATCAAATAATCATGATTGTAGTAAAACAACACAGCTTTAGTGGTCCAGAAGGGTGGTACTGGATTTAACTTTTTTTTGCAACCATTAGAAAAAGAATAGAGACAGGGCAGGATGCTTGGAATTTGGGAAATATACATATATATATATTGGAAATTTTCAAGTCTACATTTGTGCTAAAAATATGTAAATGTCTTATTAATCTCAGCTGCATTTTGAAGATCTTGATAAGTAGTATTGTTACAAGTCACACCTGCATCGGGGGGGGGGGAATACAGATATGCAAACATATCATATTTTGTTTCCTTTGTGTCTTTGCCAGGCTTGTGTATATCCTGCTTGTGTTGTTTCCTGGTAGAACTAGTTAGGTTCTCTTTCTTGTCCTTTGGGGGTAAAGAGAGAGAGAGAAGGTGTAGTTTTTAGAAGCCAAAGAAAAAATATGCTGGATCTCATGTTAAATAGGATATGCCTAGCAGGCAGCACTTGCAAATGCCAAAATTCCGTATTAAAAAGCAGGTGACAGGTGGAATAAACTGTAAATCCTCAAGAAATAAAAAATGAGGAAAATAAAATTAAATATTTTGTCGTTTGTTGGGGAGAGGATAGTGTTTTGAGGGAGGTAATGTAAAGAATCTTGTTTCTGGTGATAGAAATAAGATCTATCCAGTCTGATGACTGTTCAGTTACCCTTTTATACAGAATTCAGTTCTTTCCCCTGTGCCTCAGCTTTACATTCGATTTTGTGTAATGATCTCATTTCTTTGGTTCATAGATATTTATTGCAGTTACACGCTAGCCAAATGGCCTTGGTCTAATATTGGCTAACAAAGAGTTTCATGAAGTGTTTATTTTCCTTTTGGAATGTCTTTTCCGGATCATGTTTTTCTCTTTTTACACTGATTTTCCTTGAAAATCGTTTTTAATGTTCTTTGCATGTTTTGTGATGAGATCATCAACCACAGGAACAATTGGAGATTCCATTAATTTGTTGTTAGTTAGTGCAGACCTGTAACCTTTAGTAATTGCACTCTAACTTGTTTTGCATTTAATTTTTAGGCAAAATCCAAAAGACTATAATTATGCTGTCTCTTTGAAGTGGCAGATTAAACTTCTGAAGTGCTCCTACCTCGATGTGAATCAAAACATCAGATTCTGAGTTTACATCCTGATAGCTCCAAAGTCTGTAACAATGAGTGTAGCTCCTGTATCACGTCTTTTCACTGTATCCTGCCAAGACAAAAAAGCCCAAGCATGGCTAATAAAAGCTCTTGGGTCGCATCTAGATATTCTCTGAACCAAATAAAATGAATAAACAGGAATTTGCTGACTGTTCACAACAAGCAATAGAACATCCATTCTCTGCATTGCAGTAGAGAGTTGGGGTTTGGTGTTTTTACTGATGAAGGTTCATTATAAGCATAATTTCTCTAAATTAGATTAAAACCAGTTTGTCCAATCTCTTGGGTATTTGATGAGAATGAAGAGGATAAACTGCCCATGAAATAAAGTGTAGCTTTGCTGCTTTAGTTCTGAGGCTTTCTGATCAGAGGGTACAAGTGATGCAGGAGGGAGGAAAAAAATCCCAGAGCAAATAGGTCATATTTTGTATGACTTCTGCTGTGATTGACCAGTGTGACTTCACACAGACCTGATTGCAGTCATGCTGCTGGATTCTCAG